ACAACGATATGCTGTCTATAAGAAACTCATTTCAAATATAACGACATAAGCAGGTTGAAAGTAGAAGAATGGAATTAGTTCCATTACACAGACATTAATCAAAAGAAGGCAGCAGTGGTGGCATTGATGAAGTAGACCTCAGAACAAAGAAAATTACCCAAGAAAGAGGGGACGTTCCAACAATAAAAGGGGCAATTAACCAAGAAGACACAGGAACGCAAAATGTTATGCACCAAATAACAGAGGTTCAAAATATGTGAAGCAAAAGCTGATATAATGGAAAAGAGAAACAGACAAATCCACAATTAACATCGGAGATTTCAACACTCCTCTTCCAACAATCAACAGTGACTAGACAGAAAGTCAGCAAGGATATAGAATAACTCAGCAACATCAACAGCAGGATATAATGGATATTTACAGAACACTCCACCTAACATCAACAGATTAGATATTCTTTCAGGAGCCCACGAAACAGATACCAACACAGACCAGATCTTGGGCATAAAAATTACTCGATAAATTCACAAGAACTGAAATGACACAGCATGTGTTCTTTGACCACAATGGAACCAAACTAGAAATCAGTACAAGTAAGATGACAGTTGGGAAATGAAATAATATGGTTCTAAATAATCCCCACGCCCAAGAGGAAGTCTCACTGAACTGAATGACAATAAAACTACATCTCAACATTGTGGCATCCAGCTAGGGCACAGCTCCTTCACAGCTTCCTTCTCTGCTAGGAGCTGTGCCCTAGCTGGATGCCACAAATGTACCCCCACAGTCAGTAGGCATTGGAAGAAGATGTGAGCAGTCCTAGGCATACAGGAGAGACTTTCTTGCAGACCACGTAGCCATTGCTAATAAGGAGCCATCTGATAAAACAGTTCTTTAAAGCAGCCCTACAAAGCGGCCACATACTGGCTGGTCAACAATATCCTATATAATAAAAGGGTAATATGCAAATTGACCCTAACAGCAGAACAAACGGGAATGACTGGTCACTATGATGCGCACTGACCACCAGGGGACAGACGCTCAACGCAGGAGCTACCCCCTGGTGGTCAGTGCGCTCCCACAGGGGGAGCTCTGCTCAGCCACAAGCTGGGCTGATGGCTGTGAGTGCAGCGGCGGTGGCGGGAGTCTCTCCCACCTCCTCAACAGTGCTAAGGATGTCTGACTGCGGCTTAGGTCTGAGGCTTAGGCCACAGTTGGACATTCCCCGAGGGCTCCCAGGTTGCCAGAGGGATGTCTGACTGCCAGCTTAGGCCCGATCCCCTGGAGAGCGGGCCTAAGCTGTCAGGTGGACATCCCCCGAGGGGTCCTGGACTGTGAGAGGGCACAGGCCAGGCTGAGGGACTCCAGAATGGACAAATTTTTGTGCACTGGGCCTCTAGTATCTTTATACTGACTTAGACAAAAGAGGCTTCTTGCCAAATAGGGACATCAATATTTGGGTCACAGAAAGGTACACCTGTGCATTGTGTACAGTAAAACTGCTGTGTCATTGCCTTTGCACATGCACAAGGCAAATTGGCCTTGACCATCCGGCGTACTCTGATTAGGGTTCCCACAGCAGTGATAAGAGTGCATATATAGCACTAAATGCTTATATTAGGGAAGAGGACAAATCTCAAATCAATAATCTCAGCTTCCTCAGGGAACTAGAAAAAAAAGAGCAAAATGAACCCAAAGCAAGCAGTAGAAAAATAATAAAGGTAAGAAATCGATGAGATTGAAAACAGAAAAAACTGATAGAGAGCATCAATGCAACAAACGTTTGAAAAGATCAATAAAATTGATAGACATCCAACAAGACTGACAAAGACAAAAATAAAGGTCAGTATCAAGAATAAAACATGGTATCACGATAGCTCAGATGTCAACAGGACAATAAAGGGATACACTTGTACACACATGACAACTTAATGAAATGATGAAGTGATTATCTAGAGAGCACATAACCTACCCAATGTGAAAAAATCTGAATAACCCTTTAACTAGAAAGAAAACAGAATTCATAAGTTTTTAAAATCTCCAGGCCCACTAAGTTTCACTGAAGAATTCTGACAAACTTTTAAAGAGGAATTAACATCAATTTTATACAATCTCTTCAAAAATGGGGAAGAGCTGGGGACACATCTCAGTTCATTTTACAAGCCATTGTTGGCCTTCTGCCAAGACTAGACAAAGACGATACAAAGAAAGAAGCCTTAAGAACAATATCCCTCATGAACATAACAGACAGATGTGAGGATGTGGAGCCACTGGAATTCTCTTCCATTGGCAGTGGGAGTGTCAGCGGTGCAACCGCTTTGGAAAATGGTTTGGGACAACCTACTGGAGTTGAACGTGCACACACTCAATGGCCCAACTGCTCTCCAAGAGACCTGCACATGGGTAGTTTAGATGTGATGTGTGGTTTATGAATAGTCATCAAGTTGTACTCTTAGGTTACATGTCCTTTTCTCCACGTGTGCTTCACTCAATTATAAGTTAACTAGGAAACAATAAAAAGCCTATTGGATCTGGTGACATGAAGACAGCAGGGAAGCACAGTTCTGAGGGAGTGGCGGGCTTTGGGGACCTCAAGTTAATTCCAATTTTACAAATAGCGTGACTGGAGCAAAGAGCAGTTGAGGCAGTGGGCCAAGGTTGCAGAATTACTGCGTTGGAGGGCAGGGCTGGAACCCAGGGAGCAGGGACGCTGAGCCCGTGCCGACCCACCACCCTGCCCGTCTACTTGTCCTTGAGGGCACCGAGGCAGCGAGGACAAAGGGAGCACGGACAGGAGCACTCACAGGCACTAGGGCCTGAGGCCCCTCCCGGAAGGGCCAGCAGGCACTGCGGCTTGATGCTCCTGTAGATGTCGCTTTATTGTGATGTCCAGGCTGTTGACCAATATTCACAGGACAACCAGGCATCATGGAAGAAAAGATGACGCATTCTCGTATACTATGTTTACCAAGACCGGGAAATGTACAATATATTTTTGAAATATTTGAGTTAAGGGACAAACTCTGAGTACATCTGAAAGTCAATTGCGTTAATTGTCTAATCATCTCCCAATGCCAGAGCGACGCAGTACGCGCGCACGTGTGCCCAGGCTCCGTCCACTCTTTCTGGCACAACTGTATTTTGGTGTTGGAGAGAAAAAAAACTCACCATATCATTAGAGTTTTTGAGAAGCATGGAAATTACGATTTTGTAATTAGGCCAGGGTATAATTATAGGCTACAGTCAGATAATATAATTAGTGTTAGAGCAATCCCTGAAGCTACCACACACAACCACGGTGTGAAGCCTTAATTAAAAAGAGGAGATTACTGTATAAAAGTCATTCATTCTGTCAGCTGCTTTCATTGCAAAAGGTGGGAAGGTGCCCACACATAGGGACTAAATGCAAGAATAAAGGATCTGACACTATAATCACAATACAATAATATCAGTGTCTACAAATGGAAAAGAAGTCACTAATAAAGCAAGACGAGTCAACTCCAAGTTCTTGCTGCCTTAGAGAACATCTTTGATAACTAGTTTTTTAGAATTGAGTTTGCAGTGGAAATCTTTCCTGGAAATAACTCAGGAAATTCTTTGCTAATTAAAAAAGGCTTGTGGAGTGAAACAGCTAGGAAATCCCTTTTCCAATATGAAGTTTACACCATCTCTACGTCTGATGTGACTTATCCACAACACACCTATGTGAACTTCTCCCTGGGAAAACACACACAGATGAAATCATTTGCTTATGGTCACACAGACGAGGACCCAGACGAGAACTGTTCTCTAGGTCTAGCACAGTGGCTGTGTTATGGGCAGCTGACTGCCCTGGTGTCTCCACCTGGGACCAGTGAGCAGTTTCCCAGAACCCCGAGTGGTCCTCCGGGTTCAGTTAACCTCCCTCCACTTGGGGTTCCCTCCGCTTGGCAATCCAGTTTCAAGATGCACCGAGTTCAACCGCAGGCCAAGTTGCTTCTTTGGTGCCTCACCACCTCTCACCAGGTGAGCAGACGCTTCGCTCGCTGCTCTCCTAGCCACACTGCTCAGACGCTCTTCCTGGGAGCTTCCTTTCACTTTCCTCTCACCTCTGCCCGCTCTCTGTGCATTGTTCCCATCCGCAGGTCTAGACAGCGCCTGCGCCTGGACCGCGGGACCTTTATGTAAAATTCCCGCTCCCAAGAGCCACCGAACGGCTCACGTGGCTTGTAGTGCACGTAAAAATGACTTAGAAAAACCTCTCCGAGTCGTTCTTAGACCTCCCACGTTTATCCACCCTGACAAAATGCGGCACAGGTAACAAGAAAAAGGAAACCGTGTAGGGAAATCTGTCTTTAGTGTTTCCAAACATGCCTTAAAACGCAGGCATTGCCTGGAGCGCAGAGGTGAAAGTGATGAATGTTGAGTGGGTATTTTTTCACTTTAACTGACTGATCAGAAGAGTATTTACAAAGCCCCGACTAATGTCTGGAGCTGATAAATCAACACCAAAGGAGAACATTTCAAGCACATTTATCATTTAAGACAAATGGGCTATTCTGAGCACGAAGCTTTCTTATTCATCATTGTAGCTCACCTCTACGCTCGCGTCTCCTCAATGTTAATAACATCTGCATAGGACTCCTCAATATTTAATGTGGACAGCTTGCCTGTTGCATGCCGATGAGGTTAGGATCACGCCTCATCGCCAGCAGGCCAGTCAGCTTTCCAGAAAAAGAGGCTTCCCCTCTGAAGCCTGACCCCAGCTAGCTTCCTTATAAATAGCTGCTGTTGGTTTCAATGCCATAAAAAGCACAGAATTACTGTTTTAAGGGAAATTAAGGTCAAGATATTTTAACAGACTTTCCCAACGGCACCAAACATTGTCATTAGCAAAGGACACCCAGCATCGTGGGCCCCATGTTTCAGCATTTGTATGACTCAGCTAATGTCCGGGACGGTCTGCCAGGTCGGCGTCACAGTGCCACGCCCAAACAGCACAGAGCCCGAGGGGAGCTTACCTGTTCACCCTCCTCTTCATCACTGCTTAGCTTGAGGTCATCTTCTAGCATTCTGGAAGAGGGAACAGAGAGGTACCGATGCTTAGCAAATTCAAGTAATTCTCAACAAAATATATGAACTCGAGCAACGTTTCAGTCATAAGCCCGTTTGATGTACTGATTTGGAAAAGTGTTCGTTTGAAGCCCTTTTCCTGTGATGCACCGAGAAGCAACACATGGCCACGTCATGAAAATTACCCCTCACAGCAGTCACAGCGTGAGATGGGGGCTTCCAGAACGTGAGTCGCGTTTCCTGCGAAGGTTTTCCGCGTGGCAGCGGCTGTGCTCCGTGTCCACCGCCACGCACGGGAACAGGACCAGAGGGCCAAGGGGAACGCTGCGGAGGCTAGAAAACAACACGCTAGAGCAGCGGTTCTCAACCTGTGGGTCGCGACCCCTTTGGCGGTCGAACGACCCTTTCACAGGGGTCGCCTAAGACCATCCTGCATATCAGATATTTACATTACAATTCATAACAGTAGCAACATTACAGTTATGAAGTAGCAACGAAAATAATTTTATGGCTGGGTCACAACATGAGGAGCTGTTTTAAAGGGCCAGAAGGTTGAGAACCACTGCGCTAGAGGGTGAGCCACGCCGCTCGGGGCTCCCTCCCACGGAGACCTGGACACACCTCAGCAGACCCTGCCGGACGAGGAGGATCAGAGGGGACCTTCTGGAAAGACTCCGAAGGCCACTCCCCCGCGCCCGCAGATCTGTATGACAGCACAATCCTGGGTCCATAAAAGTTAAGGGTAAAACAAAAGACAAAAAACACTTCAAGCCCTGTGATTTCTGATGATGATAAAATGATATTCTTATCAGCACCACTGAATTGTTTCTTTACAGAATATTAGTTTTCGGATTAAGTCATTTCAAAAGAAATCTCACTTAGGAGTGCGCTCCACAGCAGAAATGCACGCAGGCTGGGGCACCAGGGGTGGGTCTGAAGGCCCTGGGCCCCTGCGCTCCAAAGGCCTTACTCTCCTCCTCAGTCACCTTCCAAAGACGGTCCCTTAGAGTGTGCCTCGATCCCTTTAAAAGTCCATCATCAGTATATTCCTCGGAATATTTTAATAAGTCATCTTGGTGACTTTTGGGGTAAACCTGGGAGAAAGACCTGCCAGGATGGGTCATGGGCAGAGTTCTGGCCCAAGGCTTCATGCTTAGGGCAGGTCACAACTCCCCTGTTTATAAAACGAGGTGATTCCTGGCAATCTCTAAGGTCCAATCTGCTTTGGATTCCATAAGTCTAGGACATAAATCTGCCCCTCTTTTGAAAAGTAGGAAAACTCTTGTATTGTCCTTGAGATCACCACTGAGGAATTGCTAAGCAACTGTGGCGTACCATTGAAGCCACAGCCGCTGGGACGCCACGTCCACGTCCTCACAGGCTGCGGCTATGCTGCCTGCCAGTAGTGAGAAGTCTCATTCGCTCATTATTTAAACCTCAAGCAAACAAACAAAACAGCAGCAAAGACTGTAGAGCAAAGACTGTGCCCCCAACTGCTCTTTATGTCCGTCTGGCATGCCATTCATTTCCCTTGACCTCAGGAACTCGTACCCCCGGCTTCCAAGAGGAGACGTAGTGGAGATTTATTAGAGCACTAGTAGCCCTGCGCACGAATCCGTGCGCCAGTAGCTTGCTGCCGCCCTCCAGTAGCTCTCTGCTGGCTGCTCCGCCCTCCTATAGCTCCCTCCGCCCCACCCCCTGCCCCGCCCTCATAGCTTGCTGCCCTGCCCCCTCCTGTAGCTCTCCACTGCCCACGTGTAGCTCGCTGCCCCACCCTCCTGCTGATCTGTGATCCGGTCGTTACGCGGTTGGTCGTTACGCTTTATGGTATAACGACCATTTGCATATTACATCTTTATTATATAGGATTGTCTGGGAAGACGCTAAGGAGGGGATGGTGTTCTCTTTGTCCTTGAGTCCTTGGTGACTAGCACAGTGACGACAGAGTACAGTGCCAGCTTGCTGGCTGGGCTAAGAGCACCTTCCCCAAGACTATTTTCCTACCAAAAGGTACACATGCCTTTCTGATGAAAAATACCAGAGAAGCAGCCAGTTTCTTGCCTCTAGCCCTTCCTCCCTCTTCTGGGGCAAACTGCCAACTGCAATTTGGTTTAATCTCACAGACTGCCCTTTGAGCACTGGGTGTTCTACGTGTGGGTGGTCCTGTCAGTGGGGAGGGAAAGGGAGGGGAGAACACACACAATCGTTGCTAACAACCCCCTTGTTGTTACATGGAAGTCCTGTCAGGGGTGACTGAGAAGTTTCATCTTTATCCCGGCAATCGTGTGCATGGATTTGAAGGCCTCTGTCAACCGGAGCAGGAAACCCCAAGACCCTTCAAAGCAAGGGATCTTCGCTGGGCTGCACACCAGCCGAGTGACTCGGCCACCACACGAAGCTGGCGCTGCTGACAGTAACCACAGCCGTGAAAACAGTGCGTCAGGGTCTCTTCTAAGGTACAGAGAACAGCTCAGTTTTGTCTGTTTTAAGCATGTGCTAAATGTGTGGACAAGCCTCTCACACCCCTGGTCCCAGGCAGGGGCACCTCTGGCCTCGGGGTCGGGTTTGCAGTGAGACTCACGTGCCTGGTCATCGCTCAGAGGAAAAGCAGGAGACCCAGCTAGCTTTGGGGGCAGTGACCATCCTAACACCGAAGCTCTCGCTCATATTTAAAAAATATCTCCTGGCTCATATCTAAAAACTAAGGATCAAATGTAAGAATACTCTGCATTCAAGAGAGACTTCAAGAGAAGTCAGAATCCAATGAAACGTCAGAATATCTTGAATCTGAGGAAAGGGCAACGGAAACACTGAGTGAAACAGACACAACTCAGGGCAATTCTGGCTGCTGTTCTCAACCGGAGACGCAGACCCAGTCCCTGCCGCCTGGAGCCTGAGCTCCAGCAGACACCCCGGAGGCCGCTGGGACTCAGCCCATCCTAGAGCCTGACCAGCGTTCTGCTTGGCTCTGAGGGTCACAGCAGAGCCCTGTGACTCAACTTCCAAAGCACAGTGCTTGTTCCCTTCACGCACTTCGTTCTGGCGTAACGTTTATCAACTGCCCACTTTTAATGCTGGAAATATCAGAGTGGCCTCTGGGGGGTGGGGGGTGGGGGGGAGCGAAGTCTATTTGAGGTTACAGCTGAACAAGAAACCATGGCCAGAGAAAAGAGAGCTGTGACAGCCACGGCATCCTAAGCGCTGTCGGGTAGTGTGGCAAAGAGGCCCCGGGCCTGTGCCTCCGCTGAAACAGGTCCATAGCTCCTGCAGCCCTGCCCCCACCCCCGCCCCGCCCAGGAGACAACATGGCTATTGTCTGTTCATTTGCAAAAGGAAAGACTGGGCTAGGTGCAATAGACAAGAACCACACAAACGAAAGTTTTAAACCAAGAGTAAAAGAAAGTGCAAACTAAGTGTCGGTTAGGCCATGGGGTAGGGGTGGGGACCGCTAATGACGTTTTCGAAAAAAGGCAATTCTGATGCTCAGAAGGCTGAGGACAGCTTAGGATGGGTCACCTGCACATAGTGCAGGGGTGTGCGGGGACCCCTCCTGGCACCCCGCCACCCCCCTCCACCCCTCACCGGGGCACCCCGTCTAAGCCAACCACCCAGAGCCCCGCCCCTCACGTTCCCAGAGCCTTCTTGGTGTCTGAGCTCCTGATAAAGGGCAGCAGCTCTCAAGTTTGAATGATTCTGGCCGGGCCTGCTGAGCACTGTCTAGACCCCCTCAGTCAACCCCCACAGCAAATCCTCTGAGGTGGGCATGCTGGGCAGCAGGCCTGGAGGTCAGAGCGACTGCCCAGGCTGAGTGAGTCCAGCTCTGAGGCTCAACCAGCCGAGTGACTGGACACCTGCCTCAAGGCTTTTCCAGAGAAGTCAGTACAGGATCCCTGGGAAACGCTCAGCACAGAACCTGGTGCAGGAGGAGCATCTATAGATGCTCACTTTTCTTAACATTCCTTTACCTCCGAGGGTGACTAAAGCTGCGGAGCATTTAAGAAACTTGATGGGTAAACAATTTAGGAGGCAAAGATGTTTCTGCAACGAAGCCTTCAAACTAAACCATTTGCTCTGCTTCGGGCCATTTTGCAAAGAAAATACGTTCTCTGGAAGCTGTGGAGGGGTTGCAACTGCTGCTGTGGTTGATTGATCTGAGGTGACTCGACGTCTACAGAAGACAGACAGCATGTCCGTCAGTCTGAGTGCACAAGGAGACATGCCCTGGGAGCCCGTGGTCGGCCTCGGGGCCAGGAGTCCCTAGCAGGACCCACAGCCTGATGACTACAGGGACACTGAAATAAAAGACATAAGGTCACACTTTGCAAGTGAATGCCAGACAGCAGAGGTGCAGCCAGCAGGGCGGAGACCCCGGATTTGGCCCTGAGCACCCAGGAGCTGCCCAACTGCTGTCAGGAGCACAAGTCGGGGCCCGTTGAGGCCGCCCTGCGAGTCTGCACCGGAGCACCTGGTGCAGGGGATCAGCATGTTTTGAGCCGTGGGCTGAATGGTCTTGCTTTCTTGTATGGACCAGACTGCGTGGAAGAAAGGGTGCGACGGGGCCTGCTCTGCCAGGCACCCCTCGGGGTGCGGGGGGGGCTCTCTCTGTTAGGAGGAGACGAGTGGAAACTGGGTCTCACCACCAGTGGCAGCATTGGCGTCCAAACTCCAACCGTTGACTTAAGTCACATGTGTGTTCACTGGGTGGGACCGCTCTCCAAGGAAGCGTCCGACTGCCAGGGCTGGCTCCCCTCACACACTGCGCTCAAACCAGCACTGCCTCCCCAGCCACTTCTCAGAGCGGATAACCGTGACGCGCAGATGCACGTGATTCTAACAGAGCCAACCGCTTCATCTGCAGAGATCTTCCCTTCGGCTCAGGAAGGTGGGTTCAAGGCAACCCAGCAACTTCATATTTGATTATGGTAACTTCCACGTGTGCACTACTCTTAATGGAGCCACAGGCAAATGTACGTTGTAGCTGGTGCTTATGTTTTCAGGCC